TTCTCCCTTGCTTTCTGCTGTAGACACAGTCTAGATTGGTGTCGTATCCAATGCAGATCTGCAACCCGAGCCACAGTTCCCATAATCCGAGTGACTATCCAATAGGCCCCAAAGGGAAACATGATAGCAGGATAAAGATGCCGGCCGTGTATAAGCTGCACCAGTATCGGAAGGCCAACAAGAGGAGAGAACAGTGACGCAGGTACAACAATGTACTTGGCGTCACAAGCTTTAGTACACCAAATGACCCCACACAGCAGATCCAGCAGCAGTCCATGGATCAGGACGAAGCCCCGGTAGAAGAGAGAACAGTCGGCGTCTTTGTTAACATGGATGGTTGAGATGAAACCTTCAGCTTGAGATGTTGAAGAAGGTCAATAGGTTCTTACGACCTTCCCCTGTTTCGGTTGGTCCATCACGAGTCTATAAGATAGTGAGAGGGTGTGCTCGGGCACATGGACGGTCGTCTCACATAGAAAAGGAGAATCATATATATACACACACACAGACTATGTATAAAGAGACGGGAGGGAGATAAAGCCCATCGAACTTTGTATGGGACATCAACATGTACGGCGTTCGGGGAAGATGTGGATGGGAAAATTGGAGATGACTAAGTGTCGGTGTCCGTCCACGGATTAGTCCAAGAATGCACCCATTTGTTTCAGGGGCAGCAGCTGTTCTTCGACCTGCAAGCCAAAGAAGACGACGACAACATTGATGATAGGAAACATGAATAATGTTGTGTTGATTTCTGTTTTTTGTTTTTTTGTTTTTGGTAGCGAGTGCTGTTTTTTCAACTCAGTTATTATGGTGAGTCGTGTGTCATACTCACTCGGTTCTTTTTCTGACTCGTCCGAGTTCGCAGGCGGCTGGGAATCGGGACGAAGCTGGTGGAACGAGTGGAGTTATGGTGCGCGGCGCGCGGCGCGGAGTACGCGTACATGGCCACTGATCCGGCCAACTCGGCCTCCCTCAACCTCTTCACTCGCCGCCTCTCCTACTCCCGCTTCCGCTCCCCGGTCCTCCTCGCCCACCCCGTCCACTCCCATCTCCTGCCGCTGTCCCCCTCCGTCGCCGTCCTCCGCCTCCCTCCTTCCGCTGCCATCGCCCTCTACTCCCGCCTCCTGCCGCCCTCCGCCGTTGAGTTCCTCCCCTCCGACCTTCCTACCCTCCTCTCCCACGACCTCACCCTCTCCACCTTCCTCGCCATCCCCTCCTCCTCCTCCGCCTCTTCCGTGATCACCACCAACGCCTTCTCCCTTTCCGACCTCCCCTCCTCCTTCGCCATCATGAGCCTGTGGGACTCCACGCGGGTCCTCCGCCTCCGCGTAGCCGGGGCCCCGCCGGCCGCCCGCGCCGCCCTCGCCCTCCTCCGCACCGTCGACGCCAGGGCCCCCTGGATGCGGGTCCCCTCCATCCGCGACATCTTCAGGCCCTTCGGGGTCTACATCATGTACGGGCTCCACATGGCGGGGCCCGAGGGGCCGCGGCTGATGCGGAGCCTGTGCCGGCTGGCGCACAATGCGGCGGTGGCCGACGAGAACTGCGCCGCCGTGGTGGCGGAGCTCGGACGGGGCGACCCGGTTCGTGCAGCAGTCCCGCACTGGAAGCGCTTCTCCTGCGAGGAGGACGTGTGGTGCATGAAGAGACTACGCGGCGGCGGCGACGACGCGATCCACGGCGACGACTGGCTCGCCTCGCCGCCGACGACGGACGTCATATTCGTGGACCCCCGCGAGTTCTGAGCCATGGATCGGATGGTCGTCATCCATCGTCTCTTCTCTCTTCTTCTTCTTCTCCGTCGTCGCATGTCTTCTTCATGTTTTGGTGTACGTACGATGATGAAGACCGCGCATTGTAATGTCACTGCCAAGCTTCGAACGATTCGGTGCCCGAATTACTCGAGTCGAGTCTTCATGCATAAAATTTCCTGAAATCAAATGAGCATTGGGACTCACAATTTCGTGGTGATCTGTGGATTTCCAATCAAATTCTTTAAAATAATTGAAGCTCGGATTGATTAATTTGTGGTGGTTGGGAGGTGAAGTTACGTGATCGAGATATATCCATCTTGAATTCGTACAACGAATCGAATCTACACACCATCTCCTCTTGCCATTATTAGCATGGAAAAGACAACCTCCTTGTGAACCCGATCGCCTCCAAATGATTTGGACCATCCGAGCCAATCCCACCATTCGATCAATCATCGGGGGAGTGGGGGAACAGTGCAGTCAATGAAGACGGGGATGGATCAGTTGCAAGTTGTCTAATTGATGAAGATGGATCGACGTCGAGACTGACGACGAAGGCGATGGTGGTGGTGGCTCTTTGTGGACGGTGTTTATGGTCGCCATGGGTGATCGGGATGCTCACTCGTGGGACGATTTGTTTGCCGATTGTCGTGAGGTTCGATAATGTCGTCAAATGGTGTTCGATTCGTGTGATGAGATTGAGGACCACAACTTGCACGACGATAAGTGGGGCCATATGTGATGGGTTGTTGCCCTCACTATTCTCGTAGCAGTTTGTGTGGCTAAGTTATGCATATACGCCATAAACTTATAGAAAATGAAACATGTAGACATTCCTATATATGTAAAGGAAATACAAAATATCTATTTTAATATTTATTTATAGCTTTATTGTAGATATAATTATCTGAATATTATATATATATATATATATATGTGAATTTTTGCAGGGGTTTTTTTTTGGTCCACTTGAGTCCTATTTTTTGGTTCTCTTAACCCACTTAAAATCCCCTTTCTAAAACAAACAAAAACAAATCTGCTAAAATTGGACTTAATACCTAAACGAAGTTGTCATCCTGCTAAAATTGCCAATACATCTTTTGGCCAATCAGATCCGGTCGAAGGTGGGCCCCACTGCTTGAGGAGTCCTATCAACATATGGAGCCAAAACAAGCCTCTCTCTCTCTCTCTCTCTCTCGCAGAGGAGGGTGTGAGGCCAAAAAAGGGTCTCCGCCGGGATCGAGTTATCTTTGACTCGCCGGGCGTCGCATTAGGCAGCCACTGCACGGGAAGTACGTAGATGGGACGCTAATCATGCGTGACATGAAACTATCTGCCGCTCCTCAAGCTCGGAGAAGGCATCTTCGGCTGGGAATCCAGGACGACCCGAGAAGACAACAAGGGACGTGATACCAAAAACCTCTCTCTCTCTCTCTCTGCGTCATCCACCGCATAATCTTTTCTTCTCCAGCAGGAACGCCACCATCCAATCGCTAAACTAATATTCCAGGGAACAAAGCTGGCATCCTATGATTCCCTCTAAGCTCTACTCACGCTCGCACATCTACTTGTTCTTCACAGAAAAGTGGAGTGATCATTGTTCCTCCAATCTAAACTCTTCTTCATCCTCCTCCTCCTCCTGTGAGTGGGTCATGCCTTGGGAACATTGCTTTCTCCCCGGGCAGCGTGGCCTAAGATTCTGCATCATGCTTGTTCTATTTTGGGAAGACCAATCCCTCGGTGGAGTCACACACGGTGGCGTTGCAATGCCTGTCGAGCCACTCTCTTTCACCTCCGCATGCATGCGAGGTGCAGGGAGTGAGACTAAAGCAAGTCTAATTGACGAGACTCGTACTAGGGTGAGACATTGTAATCCCTCTTTAGATACTCTCCGGACGTATACTCCTTTGGCATGAAGGTCATTCAGGTTGATGTAACCAAGAAGTGCACCACCAAAAAGAAACCTCATTCTTGTTGCATGAACTAAAGAGGAGAGAGCTTTAATTAATTAGGTTTCTATGCATCCTTAAAGTTGCAAGGAAGGGCTTCAAAGAGAAAACAGTACTGAGATCACAGAGGAGGTGATAAAAGTACTGCTAAAGGAACATCAACCGCTTATACACCCCATCATTGTTCCATCTTGCCAATCTAGCTTTGGCACCTAAACAGATGCCGCAGCAGTGATCACTTTGCATAAGTTTAAGGCAAAGAAAGTTGGAGACCTTTCTGCCCTAACTAGAAAATTGGTGAAAGCAAATAAAAGCAGGCAAGGGGGGAGCCATGTGTCTTGCTTTAGCTCAGCTCAGAGCTCCCAATCAACACTAGAAACGTGTCCAGTTCTATCCATGCCTTTATCCTCATTCCCACGCCACATATAATATTTGTAGCAAGCAAGCACCACCACCACCCCTCCTCCCCCTAGGAGAAGCCACCTTGAGGCATTCATTTGTGGCCCGAGGGAGGGATGGAATGTGGTGGGAATAAGCTGTGGCATTGGTTGGAGAGGGTATCTTTTCACCAGTGTATCTTGAAGAGGAAAAGGAGACTGGTATAGGATTATGACTTGTGTAGATGCTGCTTTTAAGAGGGAGCAAAAACAAAGGTGCGCAGGTGGGATGTGCAGCATTACCAAAGGGGGTGGGAGTTGGATTTGGGAGAGTGATTAGACTGGGGAGAGATAAACTAGTACTATGGGAAGAATCTGATGGATCAAGTGATGGTCTCCAGTTGCCACCACCTGAGCAAGTCACATCACAGCTTGGGGATAAAGGAGGAGGTGATGTACGTTTCTGGTTTTGATTTGCATTGGATGATCCATTTGCATTTTATCATGACTTCAATATTTAGAGATCCATCAACTTGGTGTATGTAGGGAAGACAAGATGAACCTACAAGATATAAATATCTCAGTCGCTTGCTCCTTTTCTTTTGTTTTGTGCTTGTCACACTGAATCCTACACCTTAATGTTCTTCAAAAAGGAGGAAAAAATAGGAGGTTTTCTATGTGTTTGAACAAATGTGTAGGCTACGACTATTATTTGTGTTGATATAATTCCATGAAGAGGTGTTGCAGGCAACTGATCAGTGTTTTGAGTTGCAACAGCTAAAGATTTGGCATCCAACATATGATTCTACTCATCTTAAAAAGTGTTTTGTCATTGGAAATCCAACTCAACGGATCGATTATATGCTGAAACCATTAACTTAAAGTGGCAAAAATTGTTCTAATTGTCAAGGATACTCTGTAGGAAACGAGTAGCAAATACATTACTAATATCTTGTGTTCAGACATTGAATGGCTAATACATTGTTTCTAATGATTGTCGACTCAGACATCGAATGGTTTAAGTTGCACATGCTAATATCTTGTGTTTACAAAGTAACCCTCGGCCAAACCAGAACTAGAATTAACATGGTGAGACCGAGGTAGCATTTCTCGACAAACCTATGAGCATATTATTTCACTCACCATGTCTATTTTCTCCCCTTTTAGAACAATTCCAGCAGTAAGTACGATTCACTTGGCCTTAGTAAACAAGCAGTCCTTGAGAACCACATGGTACCAATTGGTCCGTGGTCCATCTAATGAGCCCAGGTGATCAAGTAAAAGAAAGTTGGGTATTCCCTATCACCCCAACCCATTCATCGATCCTACAAACAGTGTATGTGGGTTCAATGCCCATTTTCAATCTCTTTTCCTGTTAAAGTCTTTGCCTTTGTTATCATTCCAAACCTAAGCCTCGGAATCAGATGAAATGTAGACTCCTTTTTAAGTATTGTAATCCGCAAGTGTTTCAACCATATTCCAGCTGGCTCCCGGCAAAAGTCAATCTCTGTTAATCTGAGGAAATGCCTTCCTTGTCCTGCACCAGAATAAAATAATTAATAGATAAAGTAATTCTTTATCAGGTAAAAGCAGGTTAATTCCTATAATACTAACTTTTCAGGACATCTTTATCAAATCAAGATCAAATATAGATATGTGCTGAGCTCACTGATTCTAGTTCCCTGATATCCCATGTTTGCCGTCAATCATGATTACTTCTGGTTCACCAAAGATCAGATTGTAGGAAATAATATGACTATTATGTAGACATCTGGAAACACTAGTCTGGTACAAGACAGACAAATTTTGCAGGAACTGATTGATGCATCTACAATAGATTCAGTGGATAAATTGGTCAATGTATAATAAGAAACCAATGGCCTTATATCATCGGTGCAAGGGTTTATTGTTGCCCTAAACTTCAAGATGTTTATCCAACTTACAGTGTTCTCATGTGTGCCATAGATAGATTCGAGTGCTGAGATTATGATATTGATACCGGAGAATAATGCAGAATGGATTTCGGAAGAAAGCCGATAATAAGAAAGGAACAAACTCATGATAAAACTTTAATAAGATCGAAAAGAAAGCTCACCATCAAGTTTAAAATCACAAAGGGATACAAAAAGATCACCACCCTAAAGATAATAAACAAGGATACATAACTAAAAACAAAAGATTCACCACTCAAGGACGCATTCAAGAGATACAGAGTTTAACAGAGCACTCCAAGAGAGCTTCTGCCAATATCATCAGTTTCTAAAGTTCTTTCTAACTCTTAAACACTAAAATAAGTACTAATGCATGAAACAACTCTTCATGCATAGGAAATTTCGAAATTAAATATTTTATAGTTGGTAACTAACTTTTTTAATGCATTCCTTAGTCATGAAAAAAAGCACCTTGAAACATCTATAACTTTATCCAAAAAATATGCTTATGAACTGTTATATTTGAGTGGGCTGAGTTGAAAACTATAAAACAATATTGTGGGTTGAAAAATATACCATAGCATCAGCGAGGTCCATATGAGCAGATTGTAGCAAATTAGGCACTCCTATGTCAGATTACATGCTACTTCCATTATGTGCTACCCCTCTCCTAAATCTCAGACGTTTAGTTCTTCGAGGAACATCCGATGAAAATGTCCTTGCCACTTCTTTCAAAGCAAATCAAACTGAATGATATTGTTTCACAAAGAAATGGTTATCAAACAAAAATTGAAAGAATGAAGATTGCAATAGAACAGGATACAACCATACCATTGACAATTTTCAAATTTATAAACATATCTCAGCTGTGGTTATTCTTTTTTCACATACATATCCCAAACAAATTAAAAATGATTAACAAATTTTCAAATATAGCAAACACTTATCTTCCACAATTGACCTTCACAATCACAACAGTGGAGAATCAAAATAGTTAACAGCAGATTGACATATTGAGACGTTAATGTCTCTCTGATGTCCATGTGTAAAAAATGTGTGTCCATCGGCAATCGTATTACTTCTTCTAATTTTTCCCTTCATTATTTTGTTATTTTGACAGAACATATTATATTGCAAAAAAAAAAAATTTCCGTTGTGACAGTTACCTGACTCAGCTTCCTCCGAGAACATATGTTGGTTAGGTTTGGAACTTATGCAACTAGCATCTAATTTGACATGGCCTCTTTGCAAATTAGACATAAATCGTAAAGTTCTATGATAAAGTCACCAAGAACACAAGACAACAGGTGCTGGTGCAGGAAGCTCTGAAATGCCAAAATAATGAATCCAACAGTAGGCACACAACCTATAATCTAGCATACGACCAAAGAAAGATAGACACTTTCTTACACCATATCATCCTATATGCCCTCATCATTCACAATTCCATCACCATACACCAGCAAGTGAAAGGAAATGTAAACTGTTAAGTGTTGTGATAGTATCTTTATCGCAAGAAACCACACATTTATTTGATAATCATCAAGTAAGTACCCTCAAACAATCATGGGCGATCATTGGATACAAAGACACTCTAACTGAGACCTATTGCCTAATCCTCTTATATACATGCACCATAATAGCCGATCACCTAACATGAAATGATGCCTCGTATAGCGAACTGAAGTATACATGATAGCTGTGCACTTTGCTATCTACCTCTATCGAAATGTCTGAGGAAGAAACCTCTCATGGCCAATTTATCCTTGAATGGCTGCAACAACGACAATATATAATTGCTTCAAGATGAATTCTTGAATGGACTTGAAGACATAATTAGCATTCCAAATTCCGTTCAAGAAGACCATCGCAACGTATACATGAATTCTCCTCTCTGCGGAAAAACGAGGAAAACAAGCTAAATACGCAACGAAAAGTAGCAACTACTAGAGCGTGACGAAAGCCAAGAACACACGATTTCATGATATCTGCGAAGGAATAGAAAAGAAAAGGACAAAGATTGGATGGCAAAAAGATCAAAAGAGAAAAGGGTTAAATTGGAGCAAATCGGAGGGGGTTTCCGTCGGAGTCAAGAAAGGGACCTGGATCTTAGATCTGACCTCGTCGACGGTGTCTCTGCTCTCAACCTCAAGAGCGATCGTCTTCCTTGTTAGGGTTCTAACAAAGACGTGAATCCTCCTCTTCGCCCCCGCCCTTTCTCGACTCCAAATGCTGCAGCTCGTTATTCGTAACAC